GCTAATTTTTTGTATTTTTAGTAGAGACGGGGTTTCCCCATGTTGACCAGGATGGTCTCGATCTCTTGACCTCGTGATCCACCCGCCTCGTCCCCCCAAAGTGCTGGGATTACAGGCGTGAACCACCGCGCCCGGCCTTGTTTTAAGTTTTCATAAGAAAACTGTTCATTCCTGGAGCCCTGCACATTCAAGTGCCCTAAATGAATGACAGTGATCATAGAGAAGGGGTCACTGGAGAGTAAATCAAATAGGGGCAGTATTATCTGAGGCATCTTCCATTAACCGGGACAAGCTAGGCACCCACACAAAAAGGGCCAGGTCCTCTGAGTGGAGAATTATTTTCCTTTGCCTCTCTCTCTTCAATCAAGTAAAAATCCTGGATTCTTTTTAAATCAGTTGGATCTTTGGTATCCTAGGTGAAACTACGCAACTTTCCACAATTCTATAATCTTGTTTCTTTGTAATTAAAATGCACATGAGACCAAGTACTTCCTCATTAAGTTGGTTTGAGAAATACAGTAAGAAAAGTATCTGGTAAGTCCTCTTGTACTACTGGACTTTTAAAATTAAGTACATTAAGGCCGGGCGTGGTGGCTCACGCCTGTAATCCAAGCACTTTGGAGGCCAAGGCAGGCGGATCACCTGAGGTCGGGAGTTCAAGACCAGCCTGACCAACATGGTGAAACCCTGTCTTAAAAAAAAAAAAAAATTAAGTACATTATTACTTCAATAAAATAAATTAACATAAGAGTAAAAAAATTACAGATCAGTAAATAAACATACACAGGGTATAACTCAGGCCTGGGTAAGAAAAATCTAGCTTTCTTATTTGAAAATATCTAATATTTTCTCTGAGCAGTTAAATCATGTTGCACAATGTCATATTTGAATAATTGACATACAAAATACACAAAGTACCACATATCAAAACTACTTTTTCAACACGGTGTTTCTATAACATTAGAAGTAAATAATAGCAAAACTCTTTCAAATTGCTTTTTGGAAAAAATGATTATTTGTGGGAAAACTGTAGTAATAGTTTTCAGTAAAAATTCTAAACTACCTAAGTGTTCATGAATCAGGAGACAAGTTATCTCACATATACACCACAGAGTACATCAATCCAAGGGACTATAATGTAGCCATGAAAAATGTGGAGCAAATAATATTAATTAGAAAAGGTATAACTGGAAAGTTTTATCTATACAATACTTACAAATACACAGTTATGAATACATCTGAGGAAGAGAACATGGGAAAATCAAAACAGTTGTTATGTAAGGGAAACAGTAGAAAAATGAGAGATTTTTATTCTGTTGCTGACTTTTCTATTCCATGCTTATTTATCAAATTATAAAGTCATAAAATAAAGCAATAAAAACACAAAAGTAAAAAGCAGCAAGCATCTGGCACACAAGAGGCTCTCACATGTGTACTGTCCTCCTTCATCCTAACAGAGAGAACAAGGTGTGTGTTATCTTTGAGAAATGAAATGACAGTTATTATTGAGAAAGGGAGGTTCAACTCACCTCAGACTTTGTCATCTTGTCCTCCTCTTTCTGGAGAAGTGCCAAGTCTTAAGAGAGAAGGAGAAAAAAATGAGGGAAGGAGAAAAAAGCCATGAGAGTTTAGCCAAGGATGTCACTAACCCTCATAGCTGTTTTTTTTCTGTTTGTTTGTTTTTTGTTTTTAACATCAAACAGCAACAGTGTTCCTTCCTCAGCCTGGCTTGATGAACAGAGACTAGGCTGGATTCCAGACACTACTTGTCCCTTTGGCTGTAAGACTCTGGCAGCAAGCGACCTGCCTGACCACACACACAGTACCCCCAACATAATTTCTCCTTGTGGCTCTCAGGGTATGACTGATTCTAGGGAAAGTAGACATTGAGAAGAAAAAACCGAGATTAAGAGTAACCTCTGGGGCCAAATGCCTAGACTTATGGCACTGCTATCTATTCACTATGAAATTCTGGACAAATTATTAATATCTCTGCCTCAGTTCTTTCATCCATAAAATGAAGAGATTAACAATGAGAGAATTAACAATCTCATAGGATTGTTTACAAATTAAATGAGGAGAGAAAAAGTTGAAAGAATATTTTCAGAGAACCTTATTTTTTAGATGCAGAGAAGCACATATCATTCAGTAACATAAAACCTGTCCTCATTAATGGTTTCTACCAATAAAATCTTTTTTTTTTT